CTCGCAGCTGATCTACGAGGTCAGAATGCATCATTGCTGCAGCGGCGCCAACATGAATGGCATCGTATGGTCCACTTCGGCCCAACCTTTGCGTCCATCGCCCTTAACGATCTTAATCTTTCCAGATTCGACCAGCTTGCGGCCTTCGTCTGACTTGGCAAGGTTCCTAAGAGACATATCAACCAATCCTTGGATGTGGTCGATGCCAATAACACAGCCGTCCGAAGCAGGTGCATCGGTGATCAACTCGGCAAAAACATGGCTAAGGTATCCTGAGCCACAGCCAATGTCAAGAACCCGAGCACCCGGATGAAGAAATGGCAGCAGATATTCACAGGCATGCGCGTGCATATGCGGGGCAGAAATAGTTGCCGCAAACCCAATTGACTGAGGAGAATCATTGTAGGGGTTCGATGGAGAATAATGAGCACGGTCAACCTGTTGCCGAAGTTTAGCTCGTTGTATCGTGAGCAACATCCAAACAGCCAGCACATATTCTTTACGTACCTTCAGCATTGCATTTCTAACTCTTTCACTCTTAATAAGGTTACAGGTGAAGAGGTTTTCGATCAATTGATAGTTGGATTTACCCGAACATTGCCATGCCATGGTTGCAGCCTTCCTATCGAAGAGACGGCCTGTTAGGTAAATTGAAATTTCGTGGTACTCCCCGCACACGGATATTGAGGGCAAATGAAGCCGCTGGGGTAAGAGTATGATGTAGCTAATGGCGAGAGTGATGATAGCAGCCAAGGCACCGACCAAACAAAGGCTGCGTTTGCTCAAATGGCGCTGCACCTTGCCGTTGCCCCGAAGAGATAAATATTGAGAGGAAGAGAATCGGCCTTGCTCCACTAGTGATAAACAAGCAAGCAGTGTGAGTGGGGTCTCCGGGGGGAATAATGCAGCTAGTCAGGCGTGAATAGTGTAATAGAGATATAGCCACAGTCGATTGTAGGGAACAAGGTCTACCTACCGACAGTTCTATGTAAACATCAGTATCCCAGATCGTTTAATGTCAATGTCAATGGTTGGATGCGGAGAGGCGATGCAGAAGATGCTGGTGGGAGGGGATATAGATATGGTAAACAAGGCCACTCGTGACGTCATCAGCGGCCCGGTTGGGCGCCGAAGCTGGAGCTGTTGATATCGAAAAAAAAAAAAACCGCTCGAAGATGGATGGACACTAAATAAGTTTCACGTCATCGCCTGCGTCGCATGCAGTCTCGTCGTGGTGTTGGGTAGCGTGATGTTGCAGTTGTTCTGGGTCGTCTCCGCCCCAGGGGAGGTCATCACCCTCTGGGTTGTTGAAAAAGTCGTGTTGTAACGCCCTAGCTGCAGTACACCTAGTTCTTGGGCTCAGGTCGAGCAAATGCTTTAGAAGTTGTATAGCTTGCACCTCTCTACCAGTCAGGTCGGTAACAAGACTGGACCACTGGATAATTCGGGATAAAGAGTACCCCTTTTCTGAAATTGAGGGGATGGTGGTGTCAAACACCAAGCCATGTTCTGCTGCTGCACGTTGCATTTTTTGCTGTCCAAAGATACATCCGATCTCTATGAGAGCATCGGCATCATCCATTGAGTGAAAAAATGGGAAGCGCCTGGCTAAGAAAGTAAGGAGAATGACCCCAACCGACCACACATCAATCTTGGTGGTTTGGTTGGGACATTTGAAAAGCACCTCAGGTGCACGGAATCCACGAGTTCCCGCTCGATTGGCACGCCGAGAAGGCCTGGAGTCGTTTCTTGGATATCCAGCGGGGGCTGGAGAGGAACCCTGGGCGGCATCCATTATCTTCTCGAATTTAGATACGAAAGACGAGGTGTAAGAGGTTCGGCCAACTTTGCATAGGCAGTTCCCACCTTCACTCTCATACTGTGCAGCGGATAGATACGTCAACACAACAGTGTTTATCTGTGGGGGCTATTCGTATCATAGACTCACCTCTGCTAGGCCAAAATCCACCAAAACTCCACGACGAAGTTTTGGATTGTACAAAAAGTTCCTATCGAGACACCGTCAGAATGCGAATTGAAAACGGACACAGGAAAGCAGGGGTCACCAACGTAGGTTTGATGTCCCTGTGAATCACCGTCGCGTTATGCACAAAATCAAGGCCCTCTAGTAGCGACTTGAAGTAATGCCGCATATCCTCGACAAGAAAGGTACGGAACATCAAGCGAAAATCCGTGTGAGGAAAGTATGGCAGGACAGCCACAACCTGGTCGTCAAGCCGGAACGCGGCTTTGATATGGCACACAGCGCGGTGCCCTCGCAAATCATAGAGAATCTCCAGCTCATTCAGAATCCGGGAAGGGCTGCTTGTGACGTAGATTTTCTTGAGAGCAACGTATTGCCTCTTTGGCCCAGTGCGGCGCTTTTTCTTTGGGGAACGGTACGGCTCCAGCAGTTCAGCTTGGAAGGCACCCTGGTCCCAGGTCAGATCTTCAGCCTTGTATACCGTGGAGAATGTGCCTATTTTTTCATAAACAAGCGTCCATTAGCGTGGCGTCTCCCCAGTGTACCATAGGAGGAGTGAACAAGAGGGAGAGCTACTGACCCTCTCCAACGCGGTTGATCAGTCTGAATTTCCCATGCAGTATTGCATCATCCTGGAGCTTCCTCATGTCTTCACGAACAGCCTCATCCTGCTCTTCATGCTCACTCTCAACATCGTCTTCATCTGAGGATATGTAGTCATCCTCCACTGCAACGGTCTTTTCCTCGTAGTCAAATGAACGCGTCTCCTCGTCCGAGTAGCTGCTCATCTCGTCTCTCCCAGCCTGCTCCGAGAAGGACGAGTGCATGCTCGCCGCGTAGTCAGGCATATTTTCCACGGGTATCACAGCAATCAATGTGGTGTTTGACAGCCTCGAATTTCTGTCGAAGTCAAGATAAAAATCGGCGTCAACGCGATCTTTTTTTTTTGATAGCTCAAGTTGCTGTATTGATAGTGTATCAGAAGGTGTAATTTACGCTAAACCCCAGGCACATTTATCACTTACCGTCACACTTTACACCGCTTTGGTTTGTCCCAAAGGCAAAAAGCAAACAAAACATTTCTCGACATCTTCATCTTCTTCTACGATTTTCGCATTTTATACAGCACAGGCTGATGTCTACAGTATCTGATTACGCCGGGTAGTTGTCGATAAGCCGGCCACGATGAACGAACGGATAGATTTTGATCTCAACAGAGTGGAAATACTACCTGAGCGACCCCGGCCTCGTTCAACGCCGGAGGCCGATCTAGCTGCTTGCTGGACTGCGAATTGACCGGATTCCTTGATCTGCCGTAATCGATGAGGTATGAATCCTATCGTGGACTCCGTGCAGAAGATCCCCTCGAGTCTCGCAAGAAGCTCGTCTTTGACTCCTTGCAGCTTCTTCTTGAAGTGAGTAACAAACATATTAGACATAATTAATGATATGGAAGTTGAACCTGATTCTAACTGCTCTCTCCTGTTAGGCTTACACCCGTCCTCCCTCCAAAAGCCCTTAGCAAAATCCCTTGATGTTGTTGTTTCCGGCCTTGCATCGCTCGCCGATATTGCGCATAATGATCTCGAAGCCGATGAGCCCGAGGCTCTGTCCGAGCACAAGGACCTCTTGGAGCTATACGCTTTTCTCCTACAATGGGCGCTGTCTTCTGTTGAGGCAAAGATAGCAGAGAAACCACCTACAACTGGGCCGGGAAGGAGAGGAGGTGGAAAGGCGGGGCGTAAGACCGCAAGGGATGAGTCGTGGGATTCCTCTGCACAGATACAGATTGGTATGGAGGTTATGTGCAAGGTGCTGAAACTGAAACTGTCGAAGCTCTTCGTCACTACCTCTTGACCAGGATACCTTCGTCAATTTGTTTACTCGATCCATATACCTAATCCTAGAAAGCGAGCAGAGAGTCAAGAGCATGTCAATACGGATGCATGCATTTAAGGTACTCTGTATTGCAGTGAAGCATCATGGGCATGCTTTTGGTAAGTTTCTACCACGAATAGCTTTCCCTAGCTACCAGCGTAACATCATATTAGGTGCCCAGACATCTATTGTGCAAAGCCTCACTTATTTTGAGCATCTTTCGGACCCTATGGCTGAATTCCTACATATCCTGGCGGAGCAATACGACTACCCTCAGCTCGCGGATGAGATTCTAAGGTACGCTTCCCGACGTCCTACATGGTTGCTTCTATCACTAACTTTGTGTGTAGGGAGGTTGAAATAAGGAGTCAATCAAATGATACCAGGGCCCTAGGTCAGTGTCCGCTTTTATTGTTAAGCTGTCTGAAGCTTGCGCCTCGACTTGTCATCAAGCAAATGACCCTACTGGCCAAGCAGCTAGATAGTGAAGTATGTTCCCTTTGCGTTGGCTCATGGAAATATGCATTATTGACAATAACCAGGCTTATACCCTCCGGTGTGCTGTTATCGAAGTGTGCGGAAACTTGATCTCCGACTTGAGTAAACAAGAGGAAAGAAGTGAAAACTTCCAAACTCAAATAAATTCTTTCTTTGATGTGCTGGAGGAGCGCTTCCTTGACATGAACCCTTACTGTCGCTGCCGTGTGATACAGGTATATATGAAGATTTGCGACCTCGACCAGAAGTTCCCCAAACGACGACAGACAGCGGCCAAGCTTGCAGCTCGAAGCTTGGAAGACAAGAGCAGTAATGTTCGAAGGAATGCGATAAAACTACTAGGAAAACTAGTCTCAACACACCCCTTTAGCGTTATGCATGGGGGCCAGCTGTCATACAAAGACTGGGAAGTTCGCTTGCATGCTGTGGAAGAAGAACTTGATGCATTGAAGCCACCACCGGAGACCCCTGGGCTAGCGGAGATGGGGATTGAAAGCACCCAGATCGATAGCGAACTGCTGGATGATGCTACGCAAGTACCTGATGACTCTCCTTCAAAGGCTCCAAGAATGACAGAAGAAGAAAAAGCGGCAGCAGTTCAGAAAGCTGCAGAGGAAGCTGCAACGTCGGAGATGCTTGCACGGCTGCAGTTAACCCGGAAGTACTATCTTGAGGCGATTCAGTTTATTGAGGTTTTGCACAGCGCATCAGAGACTGTGCTGCAGCTGCTATCATCCCGGAACAAGAGCGAGGTGATCGAGGCTATGGACTTTTTTGTGATGCTGGACGCATACAAGGTGGAAACCTCACGAGCTGGGATACGCAGAATGCTACGATTGATATGGATGAAGGGTAACAGTGACGAAGGGAAAGGTGTTCAGAACCATCTGATTGATTGCTACAAGGGGCTGTTCTTTGACGCACCCGATGCTTTTAGCCCAAACGACACAGCCAACTATATTGCCCGCAACATGATAAGCCTGACATTTGGCGCAACCCCAGCGGAGCTTACCTCCCTGGAACAGCTGCTTAGCACTATGGTGAAGGCAGGCCACATCTCAGAGCTCGTGATCGGAAAACTATGGCAGGTGTATGGGGTTCAGAAGAAGGAAATATCAAGAACACAAAGAAGAGGCGCCATTATTGTACTGGGAATGCTTGCGCTTGCTGACCAAGAGATTGCAGTCAGGGAGATCGAGATTATGCTCCGGATAGGCCTGGGCAGCCTGGGACGGTCGGATCTTGTCCTTGCTAAATACACCTGCATCGCGCTGAAGCGAATCAAACCCGGGCGGCAGGCCATTGTAAAGGATGGGGCACATCCAAAGCTGGCAAACGACCATCCAGTGTTGCTCAAGTTGGCTGCCATGATGGAGATCGTGTCCCGACAGCAAGGAGTGGTATGGTGTCGCGGAACAGGCCATAAGTGCGATCTATACGCTAGCAAAGCATCCCGATGTCCTTTGCTCGGACATACTACGGCGCAAGACACGAGCGGTCTTCAGGTCAAATAATTTCCAGCAAAGAATGGATAGCGAAGGAGACCGCCCGTCGTCGGCATCTTCAGCATCAGCGGTAACGGCAGCGACGACTCCCGCAGAAGATAGCACTGCGGCTCGGCAAAAGGCCAGCGTTATCGGGCTGTCACAGCTGCTGATTATTGTTGGTCACATCGCGATCAAGCAGATCGTGCACCTTGAACTGTGCGAACTTGACTTCAAGCGCAGGAAGGCCGAGCAAGAAAAGGAAAAGGCAGCCAATCCAGCTCAGGGGAAGAATGACGACGCAACCGCGGAGGACAATGAACTTGACCTGATCGGAGGCACGACAGAAGACGACTTTACGGAGGCGATGGCCCACATCCGCGAGAGAGAGCTGCTGTACGGGGAGAACTCGCTGCTGACGCACTTCGGCCCCTTGGTGACAGAGATATGCTCGAACAACACGGCATACCCGGACCAGAACCTTCAGGCGACGGCGACTCTGTGTATGGCCAAGCTGATGTGCGTGTCAGCAGAGTATTGCGAGAGTAACCTGCCGCTGCTGATCACGATAATGGAGCGGTCGGACGATCCGATAGTGAGGAGCAACGCGGTGATAGCGCTGGGCGACATGGCCGTGTGTTTCAACCACCTGATAGACGAGAACACCGATTTCCTGTACCGGCGGCTGAACGATGATGACGTCTCGGTGAAGCGAACGTGTCTGATGACGCTGACGTTCCTGATCCTGGCGGGCCAGATCAAGGTGAAGGGCCAGCTGGGGGAGATGGCCAAGTGTCTGGAGGATGAGGACAAGAAGATCGCGGACCTCGCGCGGATGTTCTTTACTGAGCTGTCGACGAAGGACAATGCGGTGTACAACCACTTTGTGGACATGTTCAGTCTGCTGAGCACGGAGAAGTCGCTGGAGGAGGAGTCACTGCGGCGGATCATCAAGTTCCTCGCCGGCTTTGTCGAGAAGGTATTGTCTTTAGTTTTTCCTTTTTCCTCTGTAGATACAATGTTGAGGATGCAATACTGATATGTACATGTCTAGGACAAACATGCGAAACAACTGGCAGATAAGCTGGCGGCGCGACTGACGAGGTGCGAGACGGAGAAGCAATGGAACGACGTTGCATACGCGCTGAGCTTGTTACCGCACAAGAACGAGGAGATCACCAAGACAGTGGCAGCGGGCTTTAAAGTCGTGCAAGCCAATTAACTCGTTAAATCTTCATTTAGCTATATAAATAGTTTGTTTTTTCGTGTATAATAATACTATGATTAGGTAGTTCGGGCAGTTCGGGCAGTTCGGGCAGTTCGGGCAGTTAAATAGCTGGAAGGTTTGCATGGACGGGCCGAGCCAGGGCGGCTCTTCAGCCGCATCAAAAATGCAACGAATCACACAAACATGAGACAATGACACCAACACAACGATAAAACCCCTTGCTTTGGGGCATGAATATGTATATAAAATGGTAGCAGCCAAAAACGAGTAGCCAAAAGAAAGAAGACGGACTTTTTGATTTTTATGCAAAACAAGAAGCAGGGTGGATGAGGGGGTTAAGAATATGCAACCTTTGTACAAATGCACCGTCAGACAGGACAACTATATATCAGGATAGTATGGTGTATGTAGTATATAGTGTAAATATAGTAAGTATGTGATGAGATCGTAAATGTAGGGGGGGGAAGGTTGAAGCGAACCGGCCGCCTGAGCCCAAGCATTAAAAGAGTAAGTCGATCAGTTAAAGTTGGAAGTCAAAGGGAGAGAGGATAGCAAAGAGCTACTACTATGGTCAACGTTGGGACTCGCCGGGGGAAGCGAGCTTCTCGTTGAGGTCAAAGACGTCGTGGTGCAGGTTGTCGAGGGCCTGCCGTCCGTCGTCGGTGAGATGGGGCCTTCCGGGCTGGATATGCTGCTCTGTGACGGTGAAGAACCTGGGCGTCCACTGGAGGTTGTTCTCCTTGCGCTGGGCGGCCTTGGAGCGCTGGGACTCTTCGAGCTCGTGCTTTAGCCGGGTGGCGAGGGAGTACTGCTTTGAGTTGATGGCGGCGGTGATGTCAGCCCAGAGCCGACGGGACTCGTATGCGAGCTGTTTTTCCGTCGGCGGGGTGATCTTGCCCGCTGGGAAGAGAGGGGCGACGTCTATGAGGAGGTGTTTATCCTTGGGGGAGGCGGGGAGGTTGAAGTAGATCTGGTCGTGCCATGAGCCCGATATCTCGGCCAGCAAGTCTGACGCGGGCACGTCCTTGATGCGGGATATGCGGTCGTCGTCCGGGTTGTAGCGAAACACCGCTCCGACGACGCGGTGCTGTGCCTTGCTGAGCCAGCCGTCCTCGAGTACTGCAGGATGGCCTTGATGCCCGTCTTGGGACAGGTGATGTAGCAGGTATCCGCGACGGAGACCGACAGGCCGCCGCGCAGGAGGCCGCCGAGATGGGCGTCCGGGTGGGTGAGACGGTACTCCTCGTTGTCTCTCTTGGAGAGGGTGATGAATATGCCGAGGTTGTGCTGCCCGGGGGTGATGCGGACTGACGTCCCGGTGAACTTGGCGCTGATCTGGTCGAACCCTCTGGCGGTGATGCCTCTCTGGGGACAGTCGACCCAGAAAGCGGAGACGGGCGGGTGGTGGGAGGTCTGCTCCGTGATGTAGGGAGATCTTGACCGTCTCAGCAGTAGAAGTAGAAGCAGAAGTAGAAGTAGAGGCACCAGCTAAGGCAGAGACAGAGGCAGAGGCAGAAGTGGATGCTATCGATGGGGCCGCCGAGATGCTCTCCTTCGAGGCGGTCTTGGAGTTGCACTTTGACCCCAGCTTCGAGCCCGAGCCCGAGCTTGAGCCCGTCGGCACCACCACTGCGGGCTCGGTGTCCTTGACCTCCCAGTTGCACTGTCACGCCGCTGTCAGTAGATGTAACTATAGCAAGGAATGGAAGAAGAGCTCACTCTGAAGAACTCGCCCCAGGACAGAGTTGTAGGGCTTTGCACGGCTTTCCCTTGACATATTTCTGCACGATATCAGTCAGATAACTATCATCTTATAGAAAGAAAGAAAGAAAGCAGCTTACCAGGTTCCTTGGGGAAACCAGAAGCGCAGGACCTCGAGCATGCGCCCCCAGCTTCATCGTCCGACTTTTCCTATACTACCAGCAGCTCCAGCATACAAGTAGAGAAGTAAAAGGGTAGAGAGTGG